CCAGCCACGGGCTGCTGGTCACGTAGGAGCAGCCGGCATTGAAGTCACCCAGGAAGAGGATGTTCTGTGGGGCAGCATGCTGTGCCCCTGCCCATGGACCTTACAGGGCACTGAGGGCTCCCCAGCACGGGGGGACGAGCCACCCAAAAGCTCCCTGCCTGGACATTGCTGTGGTGGCATCTGCTCCGATGGGCGTGAGAGGTCTCCCATGGGTCCCATCCATCCCGGGGGAGGACCTGAGTTCCCTGCTGCCGCTTACCTTAGTCGCCCATTTGTTGACAACGTCGGTGTAGACATCATAGAGCGCATCGATCTCTTCTGCAGCGTGGCTGGGCTCGGAATGCAGGGGCACCAGCACGAACTCCTCCACCTCTGCCAGACAGGTGGCCATCAGCCCCCAGCTTGGGTGCAGCACCCAGGAAGGGAGTGGGAACCCCAGCGACCACCCCTAGCCAAGCCCCAGTTACTAGCGGTGAAAAGCTGCTGAAGGGAAAGGGTGCTTTGGCTTTTTGTGGTCTGCCTGTCCTCCAGGCTGGAATCTCCAGTGAGGAGCCGCATCCCTCCGCATGCGGTTTGGGGTTTATTGCTTTTTTCCCACTCGTTTTTCCAGGTCATTCTGGGTTTGGGAAGGAGATGGGTGTGGGAGAAAAATGGGAGAGCGTGTGTGCCCTGGGGAGGTTCTCAGGAGGCGGAGGTAATGGCACATGAGGGGAGATGGCATGGGAGATGGGGACATGGCAGGTGGCACCCAGCTGGAGGAAGCTGATGGTGGGTTAAAGCATGTGGTGGGAGACAGCGGGTGATGGGATGTGAGGCATGATGGGACCCAGATGGAGACATGAGTTGGCGTGCAACTGGGGAGAACACATGGTAGGAGACAACAGGTGATGGGAGGTGATGGGAGATGGCACACGGCAGTGCTGGCCACGGGTGGGAGAAGGCCCCACAGAAGTGAAAGGCCCTGATGGAGCCCCTGAGCTGGGCTCCAGGGTGCAAGCCCCATCCCTGGCAGGCACAGCTCTGGGTTCAGCCCATACAGAGGGGACCCTGTGCTAGGTCCAGGCACCCCCCAGCACCAGCTCTGCTCACTCGTGGTGGGCGAGAAGAACTTCACAATGAAGGGCTCCCTGCTGAAGGTATCGTTCCCACAGGGCTCGCAGCCATCATCATAGTAGTAGCTTCCCAGCACAGAAACCATGTCCGACCTGAGAGGGGAGAACGGGGAAGCCCCCAGCACCGCTCCTGTGGCAGCCAGGGCCCCCAAAGGTGCCTACTGACTTTCAGGGGCTGCTGAGGGGGGAAAGCGGGTGACACGGTGATGCCCTACCCTGGTGCCATCCCCTACCTGTAGATGAAGAGGTACTGCTCTTTGTAGCTGGTCCGACCCAGGGGGATGCTGACCAAATATTCATATGGGTGTGAGGACTTTCTGCGAGCGAGATGCAGGGAAGGTGAGAAGAGGCTCCCGATCCAACCCATCAGGCTCTCTCTGTCTGAGCCAGAGGTGCCCTGGCACAGCAAGACACCGACCGGGATCTCTCCCGGCATCCCATTTGCAGAGACTGCCGACCCTGCACCATTGGAGTCACCTGTTGAGTTGGTTCATGAGCTTTTTCACAGCACTCAGGTCGGCATCCCGGACTTCCTGCACCAGGGCGATGTCAAATTCTGACAGGATCTGGGGGGACAAGCTTAGAGCTGCTCGCCCTGGCTGGAAGCTGCTCATGGGGGCACCTGTGGATGCCTGGGCTGGGCTGGGAAGGCTCCCAGGCTGGCAACAGGAGGGGGCAGCAGGGACCCAAGAGCCCAGTGGGGAGCTCCTCTGCTGATGTCAATGTCCTCTGGCAAAAGGACCCTGTGGTGACACAGTGGCCTCTAACACCCTTCTGCCTACCACCCACCATCCCAGCAGCTCATGGGCAGCACCGAACACCACCCACCCTTGGCTGGGCACCAGCAAGAGTGGAGGTAGCCCAAGTCTGGAGAAGGTGATGGAGAAAAAGCAGATGGGTGAGTGGATGGATGGATGGATGGATGGATGGATGGATGGATGGATGGATGGATGGATAGGGGTGTGTGGACAGGTGGTTTGATGGGCGAGTTGACGCACAGATGGACACACAGGTGGACAGATGCCTGCAGAAAGCTTGTGTCCTACTGCCCCAAGCTGGCCGCATCCCAGAGACCAGAGTGGCCATGACGGCTCTTCACCCCCAGCACTCACAGAGACAATGATATCTGCGATGGTCTGGTTGGACATCTTTGCATCCCCAAATGCCTTGATGTTGAAGGCGCTGATCTTCAGCATGGTGGCCACATGCAGCAGCACAGCTGCAACCAGCATCCAGCTTCGAGGCCACCATCCTGTGTGGGGCAGGGATGGGCTCAGCCCCTTGGCAGGAAGGGGAATTAGACAATTAGCATGATCAAGGCATTCCCATTGCCCATATTAGTTTCACTGGGAGGTGTCCAACTAGGACCCAGGGATGGTGCCACCCAGCTCCTGCCTCATGTGGGGCCTCATCCCGCTTGTCCCCCCTGGACAAAGACCAGACTGCCTGTGAGGCTGGATTGGATAATTCACTGGCAAAGGAGCAAAGACCATTTCACGGTGACATGGAGCAGTCGCTTCCTCATCCACCACGCTCAACCCAGACACCTGTCCTAGCCCAGGGTAGGTGGCAACGGCCAGAAACATCAAGGTCCCTTGGCTTGTGCCTCTCCCACCCCTCACCAGGTCTGTGTCAGAAATGCAAAAGACGGTACAGCAGCCATGCTGGGACAAAGCAAGGGCTAGTTCCCCCCTCACACCCCTCCCCGCCTCCTTCCCTGTCTGCAGCATCCTCACCTGGCTTATCCTGCCCCTGCTGCCCCCCAGCACTGCCCCTGCCCCACCCTCACCCAGGCTGGAGTCCCCCAGGACCCCCTACTGAGACAGCGCAGCAGCTCCCACCCACAGGGAAAGGCATCTGGAAAGTATTTTCCGTGGCACTTGGCTCCCCGGGGTAATATTGCACCAGTAGATGCGATCTGAGCCCCGCCTGAGCCCAAGGAGCCTCAGTAAGGTGGACTGAGAGGACTGGTAAGCACTCTAGCTTTTGGCACGTCCAAAGCCTGACCCAAGGAAGGGCTTGCTGCCCCGTGGCTCACTTTTTCTTCTAGAGGCAGCTGCTTTTGTTAAATCTTCGCCTTTCATCACTTGCACTCTCATTACAGCTGCAAATGCTGCTGTCCCAAATGCTGCAGCCCCTCCAGTTGGTAAGGCAGCGATTCGGTAACAGCGTGATTTAGTAATGCTATGATTTAATCATGCCAAAAAACTGCCCAAAGCCCTGCAAATCCTCCCTGCTCCTGAGGGAAGCAGCAGCCCGCGCAGCCACCCGGGCAGAGGCACCGACAGAGGACTATACCCATCCCCTCTAGATGCTCATGAGCTGCACCCAGGCTCAGTCCTAGCAGAGAGAGTGTCATGGTAAAATTAAGCTGAGCTGAAGAAGGCAATGTTGGAGAGTGAAGCTCCTGGGGTGCAGGAGGGGAGGGGAGCAGAACGTACCTTTAATGTTGTCCAAGGTCTCTGGAAGGTGAAGGAGCTGTACCTGCATTTATGGGGAGGGACATGCTCACCTTGCCAAGTGCTCACCCTGCCAAGTGCTCACCCAGCCAACGAGTGTGTGAGGCCGCAGGCTCCATATGGCATTTTTCAGGGAAATAAAGGTCTGCTCAGTGAAAAAAAGAACTCTTTCAGCCAGTGCCAATACCTGACTGCCACAGGTAAGGGTGAGAATGTGCTTGAATTGATAAAAACACCAGCAAGAGATCTGTGAGGTGTAAATTAATTCCAGAGGCCACTTGTGGAAAACAGCAGCTCCCCAACACAGGGCATAGGCAGCTCTTACTCACCACCAGCTACAATTTCACTTAAAAAGCATTTATTTCACCAACATCAACCGTTCCCATCCAGCACCTCGTTTTTCCAACAAGCCAGTTTCAGACGAGTGTTCTGGC